CGAAGCCCAAATCGCCTGGGACATCCTCGCAAAATCGCTCTTGGCGCTGCTAGAACTCCATTCCCGGCGTACATTTTGGATGCCCGGAGCCAACTGTAAGCCACTTCGTGCTCTTGGACTTCCCAGAACTCCATTCCTGGCGTACATTTTGGATGCCCGGAGCCAACTTTAGGCCACTTCGTGGTCTTCGAGTTCCCAGAACTCCATTCCCGGGCCACATTTTGGATGCCCGGAGCCAACTGTAGGCCACTTCGTGGTCTTCGAGTTCCCAGAACTCCATTCACGGGCCACATTTTGGATGCCCAGAGCCAACTGTAGGCCACTTCGTGCTCTTGGACTTCCCAGAACTCCATTCCTGGGCATGATTTTAAATGCCCGGAGCAAGATGTAGGCCACTTCGTGTTCTTCGAGTTCCCAGAATTCCATTCCCTGGCCACATTTTGAATGCTGAGGCAGGCTGATGCTGAGGCTGAGGCAGGCTGAGGCAGGCTGAGGCTGAGGCCGAGGCTGAAGGCAGACTGAGGCTGAGGCTGATGCAGGCTGAGGCTGAGGCTGAGGCAGGCTGAGGCTGATGCAGGCCGAGGCTGAGGCAGCCTGAGGCTGAGGCTGAGGCTGATGCAGGCTGAGGCTGAGGCAGGCTGAGGCTGAGGCCGAGACTGAAGGCAGACTGAGGCTGAGGCTGAAGCAGGCCGAGGCTGAGGCTGAGGCTGAGGCAGGCTGAGGCTGAGGCTGAGGCAGGCTGATGCTGAGGCAGGCTGAGGCTGAGGCTGAGGCTGATGCAGGCTGAGGCTGAGGCAGGCTGAGGCTGAGGCCGAGGCTGAAGGCAGACTGAGGCTGAGGCTGAAGCAGGCTGAGGCTGAGGCTGAGGCAGGCTGAGGCTGAGGCTGAGGCTGAGGCAGGCTGAGGCTGAGGCAGGCTGAGGCTGAGGCTGATGCAGGCTGAGGCAGAGGCAGGCTGAGACTGAAGCCGAGGCTGAAGGCAGATTGAGGCTGAGGCTGAGGCAGAGGCAGGCTGAGGCTGCGGCTGAGGCAGGCTGATGCTGAGGCAGGCTGAGGCTGAGGCTGAGGCTGATGCAGGCCGAGGCTGAGGCAGGCTGAGGCTGAGGCCGAGGCTGAAGGCAGACTGAGGCTGAGGCTGAAGCAGGCTGAGGCTGAGGCTGAGGCAGGCTGAGGCTGAGGCTGAGGCAGGCTGATGCTGAGGCAGGCTGAGGCTGAGGCTGAGGCTGATGCAGGCTGAGGCTGAGGCAGGCTGAGGCTGAGGCCGAGGCTGAAGGCAGACTGAGGCTGAGGCTGAAGCAGGCTGAGGCTGAGGCTGAGGCAGGCTGAGGCTGAGGCTGAGGCAGGCTGAGGCTGAGGCTGATGGCTGAGGCTGATGCAGGCTGAGGCTGAGGCAGGCTGAGGCTGAGGCCGAGGCTGAAGGCAGACTGAGGCTGAGGCTGAAGCAGGCTGAGGCTGAGGCTGAGGCTGAGGCAGGCTGAGCTGAGGCAGGCTGAGGCTGAGGCTGAGGCTGAGGCAGGCAGGCTGAGGCTGAGGCCGAGGCTGAAGGCAGACTGAGGCTGAGGCAGTGAGGCTGACAGCCAGGCTGCGACTGTCATCGCGAATGCGACTACGACTGCGAGAACAGCAGAACTCTACAACTGGATTCTCATCTGAATCTTAAGGGGGATGCTTCCAGATATGCTCCTACACATCGCTGTTAGGTTGCTTTGCCGGGATAATTTTATACATGCATATATTACATATTTTATGCGAAAATAAGAATACATACATATTCTCTCTATAACCCCCCCCCCCCCCAAAAAAAAAAAAAAATGCCTTCCATTGTTGCAAAGTGGTGCAATCTGTTATGACGAACATGCGCGGCGGAAGGGCGAGAGCCACACCTTGAAAATGGGCCGCTCTCCATCCTTGAGGCTATTGCACTTTTCAAAACAAATGCGAGCGGCGCTGAGGCAAGAGCCGCACGTTGAAAATGGCTGGACTTACATCCCTTGAAGTTGCTTCGGGTTTTCGAGATGCGTGCGGATGTGCGCGGCGCTGGGGCGAGAGCTGCGTCTTGAAAGCAATCCGCCCCCCGTCCTTGAAACTTTCGAAAGGAAATGTCAGTTGGAGATCCCCCTTTGGGGGCCCTCTTGGGAGGCCGTGGAGCCCTCTTGGGGGGAGGCCTATTGGGCCATCTTGGGGCCTCCAAGGTCTAAGGTCAGGTCGGGCATGTCCCCCCACAGGCGGGTTTTGGACGAAAAATCAAAAATACTCGAAAAATGCCCCCAAATTGTAAGAAATACCCCCCCAAAAAGAAACGTCCCCAGACCATTTATTATTTTAAACATTCCTCCTGTAGAGGGACAGGCCCGACTTAAGTCTAAGGTTGTCTTGGGGCCTTCCTGGGAGCCTCTTGGTCTGCCTTGGGGTGATCTTGGGGGCGCCTCTTGGGCGGTCTTGAGGCGTCTGGAAGCCCGAGAAGGCGGCGACACCAAAATCCTTCCAACACCACGAGCAAACCTTACAGAGCTTCATCTCTGGAGAACCCCCCTGGGCCTGTCCAGCACCATCTTGGGGCTATCTTGAGGCCTCTTGGGATTGTTTTCTCGGGTCGGGCGAAAGGGGGGGATAGCAAAGGGGGGGTTTGAGAATCAGCTCACGTAGCTGATTTTCCCGGCGCCTCCGGGCGCCGGAGGCGACTATGTATCGAGGAATGGGCCCCTCGATGAGGCCGAAACCAGCTGCGTGCAGCAAATTTCGTAACCCCCCCTTTCCCAATCCCCCCCTTTCGCCCGGCCCGATTTTCGGGCCATCCCGAGGCCCGCCGCCGATTGATCCAAACTATGGGGCCCTCTAAGAGCTTGGGGTCCCTTGGGGCGCTCATGGGCCGAGCTTTTGAGGGCCCGCTCGGGAGTTGCCTGGAAGCTGCCTGGGAATTGCCTGGGGTATGCCTGGGGTCCGCCCAGGCGCCATTCCGTCCTGGGACTCCCGTCCTGGGACTCCCAGGGGCCGCCACGCCCGCGCGAACTAGATATGCACTTCACCTGTTGCCGGAACTTGTTGCACGCCTCCGCCCCGTCTGGCCGACGAATTTTCCTGATTCGCGCGCGCGTGGCGGCCCCTGGGGGTCCCAGTCGGGCAAGTACCCCGACCGCTCCCCAAACGGTCCCCGGGCGGCCGGCCAGTCGGGGTCGCGAAAGCCACAATCCCCAGGTGGCGGTATTCAGGGACTCCAAAGGGCGCCCCAGAAGCGCCCCGAGGGACCAAGGAAGCTCCAAGAGATCATTCGAGTCGGGACCCCTGGGTGGCAGGTTCCACGATGGACTCCGTGTACTGCCAAAAGGTTCCAAGCTAGCTCTACATGGTCGAATACAGCTCCAAGAGACCGCCAAGAGACCGACAATCACAATTTTGATCCCGTTTTTGAAAGATTTGGGCACCACCGCTTTTCAGCCTTGCGACCGCACAAGGAGGCCCCCAGGACGGCCACGAGACAGCCCAGGAGGGCCCAAAGACGGCACCAGAGGCCTCACAAGGAGCCTGCAAACCCCTCAAGGGGGTCCGAAGAGGGAGCACCCGAACTGAAATTTCGAACTCTCAGCAGATGGCCACACACACACTTTTTCCGTCAGCGGCGAGGCGGCAAAATCCGCTCAAGTGAACAGCTAGGTAGGGGCATTAACTAGCGAATTGGCTGGCGTGCAAGGAGGGAGGGGGGAGGCCGAAAGGAAGGAGCGACGCTCAATCGCCGAAGAATTCGATGATGAGCAGCGGCACACACACACACACACACACACACACATACTGCCAGAAAGCCACCGAGAGGGCTCCAAGAGACCTCGAAGAGGCCCCCGAGAGGCCCCAGGAGGCCCCAAAGACCCCCCCCCCAAGAAGCCCCCAGAGGCCCCCGACATGCCCCCAAGAGGCCCCACGAGGCTCCAACAATGATCCCGCGAGCACGTAGGCAAGTAGGAGGAGGAGGAGGAGGAGGAGGAGGACCAACGATGCTAGAGGCTCCCAAGACGGGCAAAGACGGCCGCAAGCGGAGTTCAAGAGGGCCCCAAGAGGGGGGTCACGAACAGTCATTTCGAGCCCTCTGCCCCGAGACGCCAATGACTGCTCACGCAACACTTCCAGGAAACGACCACCACCCATCCGCGCTGCAGTGGCCGCGAGCACGCGGGCAAACGCCCGCGATGGAATAGTCTGGGCCGGCGGAAGTAGCGAAGCGATGCAATACAGCCGGGGCGTTGACCTAAAGAACCCCAAATAAGGAACGGGGCCCCTGTTTCCCATAAGTTAAACTTCGATTTCCCCTGGAAGACCTCAGGAAAACCTGAGTCAAACTGTGAAACACTCAAGGAACGCCGAGGCCCTCCCCAACGAAAAGGGTTCCTTCTTCAGCGCCCCGACTGCATTTCCTGTGCAAACGCAAAGACCTTCAAGATCGGCAGCGTCCCTCGGGCGCAGCTGGCCGCTCCCTCCAAGGCAAGCTGCGAAACGAGTAAGGAACACGGAGCCCCTCCCCAACGAAAAGGGCTCCTTCTTCAGGGCCCCGACTGCATCTCCTGCGCAAACGCAAAGACCTTCAAGATCGGCAGCGCCCCTCGGGCGCAGCCGGCCGCTCCCTCCGCGTCTCGGGCAGGGACCCCCCCCCCCATGGGCGAGTTGGGCCTCGGGGGATCGCGCGTCGAGTGGCCCAGTGTGGGCACACCGCGGGGGGGCCGCACCAAATGCTGCCAGGGCCCCGCCCCCCCCCAGCGGAGAGTTCAGAGTCCTGTCCTCCTCCTCCTCCTCCTCCTCCTCCTCCTCCTCCTCCTCATCATCATCATCATCATCATCATCATCATCATCATCATCATCATCATCATCATCATCATCATCATCATTCATCATCATCATCATCATCATCATCATCATCATCATCATCATCATCTTCAATCACATTCATCTCCTCATCCTCATCAGTCATCCTCATCCTCATCTCATCTCATCCTCGCGCCCCCCCACCCCACATGCCTGCTGCGGCATAGATAGGCGCTGCGACATCACGGGCCAGTCGGTGAACGCTCCATTCGAGAATCTTGCCCGAGGAAGGGCGAAGAGGAGAAGAGGGGAGGTTAAAAGGACGCGAAACAGGAGTCGAGAGGTACGACACGAGGAAAGAGGGGGGGGAAGAGGCGGCGAGGAAGAGCGACGACGAGAAAAGGAAGAAGATTGCAAAGGAGGCGAGGACGACGACGACGACGACAACGGACGACGACGACGACGACGACAACGACGACGACGACGACGACGACAATACAGGATAGAGGAAGGATAAGAGAAGGAAGACGAGGGGAGTGACGTTGGGACGGAGGAGGAAAAGTAGGAGGGCATTGACGAGGATGGAGAAGGAGATGGTATCGCGACAGGGTCACGACAAAGAGGGGACAGAAAGGGAGCGGATAAAGGGGCAGGAAAGAGGAAGGCAGGGGAGATACGAAGAGAGGGGAGGCATAGTCAGCAGAGGGCGGGAGGAGCGTGGCGCTGGGCTGGACGGACAGGGTGGAGGGCAGCTCGGCGCGACGAGCATCATGGGCGCGCGCAAAGCCACACCCCCTCCGCCGATTCAGACCCTGCCCGTGCGGAGCCCCCTCGACCGCGCGCACGGGTGTGGCTCTCGGTGCGCCCTGGGCGCAGCGCTGAGCGGCGCGCTCGGCTCGAAGGGCACGCGCCGCGCCCGCATCCCGACGCGGTCGCGCAGGCCAGCACAAAGGAGGCGCGGGCCCACTCGCGCAGGCCTCGAGCACGCGCGCGGCCGGGCTGGGCTTGACGAACGAACAATACACACCCATACCCCTAGGGAGGTCGTTGGGAGGAGGACTGGCTCTGGGTATGGGTGCGGGTTGTCGGACCCTGGGGAACGCTCCCGTTCGAGCGGGGACCTCCATCTGACGACACGCACCCATAGCCCTCCCCGATCCCCCTATGGGTATGGGTGTGTGCTGTTGGTTCGTCAGGGCTGCGGGCTCCTGGCTCGCTCGACGAGCCGACGCACGGCGTGCGCAGTCCCTGCCCAGCCGTCCTGCGTCGGCTCCTGCACGTGCGCCGCGCTCGGCGCCCAGCGGTCGGAAGGGAAGGGCAGAAGCATGGCACGAAGTAAGAAGGCGGGGAACATGGATTGGACTCCCGCCCGCCCCCTGAAGAGGCGGGGAAGAGGGGAAACCGCTCGCTCCTTGAAGCAGGCAGGCGCCCAAAGCAGATTGGGATCCGAGGATCCAACAACAACAACAACAACAAAAAAACAGGCTCAACGACCGACCGGTGCTCGTGGACACCATACTCCCGCCCGCCCCCTGACGAGGAAGGGAAGAGGGGGAACCGCTCGATCCTTGAAGCAGGCAGGCGCCCAAAGAAAATTGGGATCTGGAGATCAAACAAAAACAATTAAAACGTTCAACGACCGACCAGTGCTCATGGACACCATACTCTCGCGTGCGCAATGGAAGCGGCCTCTGCCCGTGCGCATGTCCTGCCCGGCAAGCGTCCGCGCCCTCCCAATCCGCGAGCGGATCCACGCGGCGCGGGAGGGCAGGCGGAAAGGAGCAGAGGGCGCGCAGGTTCACGCGGTATGTGCATGTGGCAGGCCGCCCCCCCGATCTGTGAGGAAGAGGAGGACTGCACGGCATCTCCAAGAGGAGGAGGACTGCACGGATTGCGCAGGGTATGAAAGCATGTGTGCCTCGCAGGTTCACGGGCCGTGTGATGTCTGCCAGTGTATGCCGCGCTCGTTGTTCTTCGGTCGCACCTTCAGTCTCACTTGGAGGAACATGCTGAGCATTGCGATGCACAATTATCAAGGATTGGCTCTGGCAAGAGCATAGTACATACGTACAACAGACATACATAAACATAAATGTGCGCATGTGGGCAAAAGCATACGCATGTACTAACGATCTCACAGCCCGCCTAGATGCCAAGAAGATGAAGGCAGGAAAGGTGGCATGGTTCTGTAATGCTTCAATCAGAAAAGTCAAAAAAAACATTATTCGACGACATGGACGCTGGACTGCGCTGCCTGCACTGACCTCACCGCCTGCTTCCCCAAAGCCTGCAGCTCATGACGGGAGCCGTCGTGTTGGGGAAGGGACAGGCCTCCGCGGGAGCAGCAACGGATGTGCGGTATCCCCAATCATCTCTCATGCAGTCGCCCATTATTGCACGGTTTACCCAGGGGCCGCAGGCGACCCGAGGAGGAGGAGGAGGAGGAGGAGGAGGAGGAGGAGGAGGAAGATGGGGAGGAGGAGGAGGAGGAGGAGGAGGTGGAGGAGGAGGAGGGAGGAGGAGGGAGGAGGAGGAGGAGGAGGAGGAGGAGGAGGAGGAGGAGGAGGAGGAGGACGGGTCGCCTAAGCCCCTCGGAGAAACCCTCCACCCATGATACCTCTCAACCTCCAACTCATTTTCGGCGCGCTTGCCCACGCTTTCAGGACGAGAATGGTGTCGTGACAAGACTCGCTCAGGATAGGTGTTCCAGGATCTCCAAAAGCAGCTGGCGGCCCTCGTTTCTGCAGCCCGCGTGGAACGATGGGACATCCCGGAAAAATCTGGGAAGCTACGATTATCATTGCCCCTTGCTCCACTGAACTCTCGGAGAACACATCGACGCGCGAGCCCCTGCTTTCTGTTGCATCCTCGGGGGGCCCTGTCTGTCCCGTCGCGGCCCCATCCGCGTCGAGTCCGTGTCGAATCCACGCCGGCCACGTCGGATCGGTGCCGAATCCGCGGCGAGTCCGCACCGAGCCCGCGCCGAGTCCACGCCGATGTTTCTGGACAGGCGAGGCCTGCCGAAGATGAGGAGTAGGAGGAGGAGGAGGAGGAGGAGGAGGAGGAGGAGTAGGGGGAGGAGGAGGAGATGCCACGTAGCCTGCTCGCCCACGCGCACTCCAGCATCACATCACGGAGGAGCTGTCTCATCCTGGCCAGAGCCCGAGCAACACATCTCGAGCGGGAGCACCCAGCCGTGGCGACTGGGCGGTGCCACGAAGAGGGGGGAGGGGGAGGGAACTCAAGGCAAGACAGGGCAACCTCCTCCTCCTCCGCCTCCTCCGCCTCCTCCTCCTCTGCATGCCAGCTCTGGTGCCGGAGCGGTCCCCTGAAGGGCAGACGAAGGATCTCGCGCAGCAACGGCCAAACGCCGCATGGGCAATCTCTTATCCACCCACAGGCGACAGTGTGCAACGTGACAGAAACAACAAGAGCAAATGGGATGAGTGGACAGCATCGCGTGAGAACAATCGCAGAGAGGGTCCTCCCATCGGCACAATGTGCAAACCACGGCTACGGAGAAGACGAGGCGGACAACTCGAAGGTCGCATGGCACATTTCCCCCAAACAGTACAACCTGTACCACACTAGATGCGCTGCGGATGATAGCATGCTGACGGACAAAACGAAACGCAACAGTAGCACTTGTCCCTTAGCTCATCCTTCCGCTTGCTGTACAGTGCGGCCGCAAGAAACCCTCGCAAGAAACCCGACCCTGAAAACCCGCGCGCGAGGTGCACCTGAGGGGAAACCCAGAGCACCCTTACTTAACGCAGCAGCTTCTTCAACGGCTGCGGAAAGTCACCGCGCAGCGCGCGGAGCGAAGAAACCCAGGGCACCCTGACGAAAAGCAAACGGTTTCTGGATGCGCGCCCCCACTGTACGCACACCGCTCTTCGCACCACCAGGGCAGGCGCCGTGGAGAACGCTCCCTGGCCCCATACCTGGCGCCTTCGACGAGCCCAGGCGACCAGGCGACCGCACGCCCTGACGCCTCGACAGCACAGAGATGCGCCCCCCCCCCCCCCCCCGAGCCGTTGCCGGGACTCCCCTCCACAGGCTCTCCCCTCGAGGTGCCAGGCCAGAAAGCCTGGCATCGAGGAACAAGAACTAACTGACTACTTACCAGACCACCCCAACCCAACCCGAAGACCCGAATTTCGGGTTGGGGGGGGTACGGGTTCCACATGTGTTTTTTCGATGTTTCCCGACACACACACCCCCACTGGAAATCGAGGGTAAATCTGAGCCTTCGGGTTGGGTTGGGGTGGTCTGGTGGGTGGTGACTAACGTGTGAGCGACGATCGAAGACGGGTCTTGCGCGAGGTCTCGCAGCGACCTCACGCGGCGGCTCACACGGGCCGCCGGCGCAGCACGCCACAGCGGAAACGAGGGCGCTCACGCGCGACGTTACGCGGGCGTCTCGCGCGCCAGTGCCGGCGCAGACAAGCCCGTCTTTTTTGACGAACGAACAACACACACCCATACCCATAGGGAGGTCGGAGGGAGAAGGACTGGCTATGGGTATGGGTGCGGGTTGTCGGACCCCTGAGGAGGCTCTCGTTCGAGCGGGGACCCCTATCCGACAACGCGCACCCATAGCAGATTCCGTCTCCCCTCCGGGTATGGGTGCGTGTTGATCGTTCGCCATGTGTTGCGTCACTTCAATAAGCACCCCGACAAGCGAAGCCGTTTAGTAAACGCACCCAGGGAAAGAGTCGAACAGGGCAGGGCTGTTTATGGAACGTCCAGGGCCGTCCAGTAAACGCCAGTTGTCGGGGTCGGGGTGGCTGTTCCTTCCCCAGAAAACTAACCTATGCATCAACGTTCGGAGGTCCACGCTGATTTCTTGGATTGGCGCTGGACCGGAGGCGCCGCCAGGCCGCCCGGGGGCTCCAGCGCAGATCCGAGAAATCTGCGCGGACCTCCAAAAGTTTCTGCTTACAGTCGGGCCTACAATAACGTCCTTCAAGAGCACGAGACCCTCCGCCAGCCAAAACACACGGAGCATCCGA